TGACTGTCATCAAACGTCAAGACCGAAAATTCGAAGTGGAAGCGTCCGTTGTTTTTCTTTACTTGGCTGTTTGCGCACGTTCACAGGTAGACGTCTTCTTCACACTCTCCACGGTTTTTACAGACTCTGCCGTACTCGCCTCCGGCCCTGTTTTCTCGAAAGCTACTGGTACCACCGCCTCTATGACATTGTTACCAATATGGCTGCCATGTTCTCCCTAAATTACCTCGGAATTGGTTTCTTTCTTCTCGACGCCTCTTTAACTCTCCAGTTATGGGGGTAGGTGGCATGCATTTATTGTCTGCTTGATTGAATTGACCTTGAATGACTGTCGTAAACGAAGGAAACATTTGCCCTCTATTTCGAACTACGACATTCCGCTTCAAATAAGTGCATCGCCTGTGATCTGTGCTTACCGTGGCCGTACCAACGTAGCTTCGAGTCACCAATGCATACTCCATCAAACAACCTCAGTGGAATGGGGATTTCATGGGTATAGATGCGTGTTTATGAGAACCACAGTTAAGATTTTTGGGCCTGAAATGAGCATGTATCAAGGCCACTAGGCCATTTTTTGTTTGACAAGGATGCACATTTCAGTCGAGGTGACACACATCTTGGCTGAAGGCGTTTTTGTTCTTGCATATTACACCAAAATTGTGGAAATGTTATCGGTACTAATGCGTAGTAACAATAACCCTCCTCCAATTACGCGCTAATCCAATTCACAATAGTTAAGACCGATTTTTAGAACTGATCGACGCTGCACGCTTAGCTGGATCTGCCAACTGGTGTGCAATACCTTCCCGTATACGGCAAACGAAACTGACACCCATTTTTTAACTACACTGCTTCTTAATTAGTCTTTGTGACTCTTTCAATCGTTTTATAGCAATTCTCATTATCTCTTGCAGAAGTTTTTACTTCCTTGGACATATTGTGCCACTGCTAATGATGTTCCTTCTTCCATACGCACTCCCGAGTGATGTCCGCGAGTCGAATAAAGGTGTCACTCATGTCACATACGAGTTGAAATTGAATCCTACCTTGGGTGCAGCAGTAGCAAACACAAACACACCAACACGAGAGAAGCCAACCTGACGCAACTAATCAGCCCCCACTCCGTGCTCCTTGTCGACTGAACTTTTGGTTATTTTTGATGTTTCGTTTTACCTTTATTTTTCCATACTGACGTTCATATCACAATAAATTAAGTGACGCCACATTACCGGGTAAAGGTTTTGTTCATTGTTACATTGATGCAGGAAAATAACCAAGACTACCCAAAACAATTTGACTACGACTGAGCTTGTTCATGTGTAGCACACTGCATAAGTATCGTCAGTATTACATTTTATTGACTTATTGATAAGGGGTTGTGTTTGTTACTAAACTTTCCTCCCATACGACTGTTGGGGATACCCTTGGGCATTTAATTAGTCTGAAGACTAGATGCTCATCTTGACGCCAAAAAACTCGAGTCACTTCGCAACGGAGTCAATGTGCCGGGGCGGATTTGGCTTTTTATAAAAAGTTAAGCCAACAAAAGTACAAATTGCTGGTAAGTTTAAAGGTCTAATATTTTTACATCTTCAAATGCAAGCAGGAACTCAAGGCGTCATCGCTCCGTTTTCACGTAGCTGTCGTCGGCAAATTCACTCGGTTCCAGCTCCTCATCAGTCTGAAAAAGAAGGTCGGCACACAGGCTGAAGTGGAGTAAACCCCACTAAGCACCATAACTACCTGCATTTATAGTTACACCGGTGTTTTGGGCCCTGACTCGAGTCGTCAAGATTCCATTTTGTTTGATGAAATACAAAGATTGGCTTCTTAAAACCAAGCTTTTGGCAGTTTTATGAAGTTTCACAGTTTACTAATGACGTGATCGTGGTCAAATTGTAGGACGCGAAAAAGACAGCACTAATGACAAACAGGATGACTCGTGCTTATTACTCCCTTAAAAGTTCCAATTGCATTTATCCATTTTGGCTTAGATTTTTTATTAGAATATGGTCGACCGAGGTAATGTAAAAGGCCACCAAAACATGTGCTTATAACCAACTGGGGTGACGACCATTTTTGAATAAGACTTGGAACTAGAAATAAATTATCTTTTCGAGTTTTCCATTTGGATCCGAATATTACTACTAAGATCACGATGACTTGCAATGGAATCCACTGACCCAGCGTTAAAATGGTCTCATAGGCACGGAGTTCTAAGAATTGATTACGCCATTTTCCAAGTGAAGAGTGTATACCGACTTGATAGAAAAAGACATTTAATTAGGACCTGTATTAACCCCATGAACAAGTGAAAAGTTTACGCAACAAGTGACTAACTATTGTAAAACACTAACGATCAAATGGAAATGAACTAGTGCACTGTCTAGGATAGCTACAGAGTAATAAATGAAGGATATTTAGTTGAAATGTTCTGCAATATAAGCAATCGACATGTTGCATATACTGCATTTACTGAATTCAACTACCCAGATACTGATATCACGTTTAAAGGTCTTAATTGCGCTTGTTACAGCCTAACACTGTTACCAGAGAACAACGACCGTGTTAAGTCACCCTTCAATTATATTTGGTAGTTTAAGCGAAAGTGTTCTTGTGAGGATGGCATGATTTTACCTTAACTTTGCCCACAAGCTCGCTACATTAGTAAACCAAACGAATACCGTAAACTCTGCCCATGCTCAGTAATACCATTAATTTAACTAGTTCGGCAGTAGTGTTTGCTTCCCCAAATGAGAGAATGCTAAGATGGGTTCAAGTTAAGAAGTATTTAAATTTTTCTAGGTCACTAAAGGAGCTGGTGACAAGTCATTGACTCGGCAAATTTAGTCTCGTTAAGCATTCCCATGAACACATCCATGACAGTTGTAGCGAGGACCTGGAGTTCACACCTACGAAAATTAACCGACGACGACCGCCTGATCATTAGATTCTTTTCGACACTTTTATTTTCTACTATCACACGGCAGCCCATCCCTTACACCGACTTCCATCATTATTGCCACCTCAGGGAAATGCATTTGTTAAATCTTTGCATCTTTAAACATTACAATTTTTGTGCACGCCAATTATAAGGCGACATGGGATGAGCAACATTATAAATGGTTTCCTCTTCCTCGCCGTGTTGTTCTTATGGCACAAGCATTCCCTCTTGATGCAACAGTCCGGGTTGGATCTTAAGAAAATTTTTCAAACACAAATAGCGAGAAACTGCATTTGGCTTTTTTATTTGGGAGCAGGTTAAAAACATGAAGGTATTTGGTTTATAGAACTTAATGGCATTTTATGTAGTACTTGGCCTATTTATACCCCTGCCTGCACCTGAGTGTGTATAGCACAAAGGGCACATCCTTAGATTGAGAAAACTATCTGTCGCCACAACTTATGGTATCAGACAAAACCGGCCACCCGACACAATTTAGTTAAGAATTAAGCAACATGAACGACGATGCCGCCCCAGGCGATTTTAGCAATATGGATCAATTCGCAAATCATGAAAAAAAAAGATAATGACGTTTCCTACACTAAAATGGTGTCCGTTGATCCCTTGCCTTAGTTTCTCAGCAGTGAAACACGGTATTAGAATAGGCATAAATAATCACGATCTACGTTCCATAAAGAATATGTATTGCCTAGTAAGAGTTAGTCCGAAAAAGCGAATCACAGAGGCATCTGTCATACGATCACCAACATGCTGAAGTAAATGACTGAAATCATAGCCACGAAATAATCAAGATAATTATTAGAAGTCAAGGAAACCTAAAAAGTCAACAGAGTATGTCCCATGTGATAATTAATGGGAAATGTTGAAAGAACGATTTTGTAAACATTAAATAAATGACTAAGGAGAAAAAGAGTAATGGATACATGAAAAATCTTTCCCATAATTGTTTGAATGTTTGTTTTGGGCTATTCAAAACAGGGACAGATTAACATTCAATGCCGCTGTCAGAAAACAATAAATTGGACTAAGAGAGAACAATTCGAAGTGCTAGATCAAAGTCGACTCGATTTTAACTACATCAGATATATATTTCAAAGGCACTTAAACTCACTGTACTTTAGAATTAATATCTATAGATGTGACTGAATACGTCACAAAACTAGTACAGAGACGAAAACAAAGATGAAAAAGTAATAAGAGCCAGGTTTCAATTCCTAGAACTCACTGACAATAACCGAAAGGAGCTTAAATCGAACTATTTGACAATAATGCTTCCACGTACAGGAACACAACACCTTTGCAAAATTGCGATACATCTTGCAAAAATCTAATGTACTCACTGAAAACTCCTCCCACGCAGCTGAATCAAAATCACTATTAAAAGTAGGATCACCGGTGCCACCATTACTTATACTTGGAGATCCGATGTCAGTTTCGAGAGTTGTCCTGCGTGTCCTTCCGGTTCGGTTGGGTTCGTCAATTTGCTTAGGGTCCTGAGTGACTTCCAAGAACCACTCGTCAATATCCTCCTGAGTTTTACAGGTTTGCAAAATTTCGCGGGTCATCGAATCTAGGGCACGCTTGTTCTTTTCAGTCGACTGTTGTAGGCGATGTGGAACTTTTGGGAAAAATCAAAGAATGCTGGTATTGATGCAACTAGGAAAACTATAAAAATAGCTACAATTTGAATTAATGATGAAAAAGATTACTCCAGTTTAGCAATTGTATTTATAGACAGAAATTAAAAATGATTTCAATTGATGATAATAGTAAATCCTCATACAAACATGAAATGGAACTTACTGAAACTCTGGATGAACTGGGACTCGGAGGTATCTAAATCATCATAATCTACGTCAAAGTTTCCAGATGAAGGTTTGGAATTCTCGAACTTTTCATCTTCATTTCTAAAAAAAGGTGAACTAGCAATGGGCTCCCAAAGTTCTTTTTCTCCTGCTTCCCGTTCTGCAGCAGACTCAAGCTGGCCCCGATCGAACTCTTCCTCTATTCTTGCGATATAAGGCCTTATGTGATCCCATATTCGTGAAAAAATTCGATGATACAAGAGTCCAGGCACGATAAGTGTGACATTTAGTAGAATATAGGTGAGTTGATAATCTTCTGCAATTGTACCAAGCCAGATAATAATGAGGCTCACAGTGCAAGAAAGAAGAAGAAACTAAAATGCAGTTCTTCTGACGTAACAGCATAGTACTTACGACTGTCGGATGGCGATTGCGATACGGTGCAAAAACATTCATCAGAGATACAGAGAGACGAAAGCCTTTAGCGGCATAATACGACAATTCCTCAAGGTTATATATCTCTTTCATGTCTGCAGCAGCTTTAACCTCACGTGAGGGATCAAACCCCGTTGAACGATGGATAAAGTCTTAGATATTATTACTAGAAAGGCAAAGTTACCCTCCGCCATTGGTAAAACCCAGTTCTTTCCAAGATCCAATAAAGCAGCCAGGCTTAAACAAGTTGCTACCACAAAGGCCTTATTAAGCTGGAGGAATACAGGAACCCTTAGTTTGTCCAACGACATGAACAAGTCAATTAACTTACCAGAATGTAACCTGAACAATTAGAAAGAAAGCGAAGCTCGGAAAAAATTTCTTATACAGTAGAAGGTACTCGATTCGTAGAAGAATGCCCTCCCAGTTTGACAAAACAGCATAAGCATCATTATAAAACCGCTCCTGAGTTAGATCGGTATGCACCATAGTAATACACACACAAAAGAAACAAGAAATCACACCACCAAAACACCGCAACTCATGAGAACTTCAAACGTCGAAATACAAAGAATTGATTAAAACACTAAAATTATCTAACAAGCAGTTAGTGCAAATACAAAGAGCTCCTACCTTAATTTGTAAAAGGCAGCTTCATAATCCGAGAATTATTAGAGACTAAATAGTGGAAAACCTTGAAAAAAAGAGAAGAAGATTTATCTACTCAGAGAAAAAAAATTGATACGGGAAAGTGTTTTATTGGAAAATTAGTGGCCTTCCTGATAATTAAATTACGATTCTAATAAAACGATTGTCTTATATAATGTCGTGCAGACAATGTCTTCTGTTTAATACCTTCATTGAATTAAGAAATGGATTAAAATAATCTCGATGCTACAATTGAATATACTTCAACAATTTACATGAATATATACGTTTTTATCCATGTAAACTAACTCAATTCATCCAACAAACTTCACTTTTCAGGTCATTTTTGTGAAGAGCTTCTGCCATATGTCTTGCCTGTTCATGTCTTCGCCTGTACGAAACTGGGCAAACATATTTGTTTCCCATGTTACTAGTTCGTTGGTCCTGGAATTTATCATAAACATTTTCTAGCGACAGAACTGAGAATGTGCAGAATATTCAATTCCACATATCCTGTTAATCGAGATTTGTTTACTATAAATTTTTCTTTGCACCCGACGTTAGTAAAACAAGCCTTGAATACCTCTGGAACACCGTGGCTTTTTAAAATTATTCAAGCAACCGTATCATGTATTTAATTCCGCTACAATATGACCTTGACTCTGAATGTAAATATTGAGGAATTTTGATTTGTAAGTTGAATTGACATTTTTTTCATAAATTTAGCCTCTTCGTTTTGTTCAGTTATTCCTAATCTGATGCATAACGTGTCATATTACGAACCTAAATAAAGCACTTGCTTAAATCATAATTTCCTGTCAACACCCATCTGGAACACTCGGTTCGCCTTTGAGAGTAGTGAGACCTTAAACTCTGTTCGATAAAAAAACTGCGAGATTAACATTATCAGTAGAATAATAACTTGTTTATTAACTACATGTTTTTTGAGGTAGAAAAATCGGTCAACTGTATACGTCAAGATTTCGTAGTCAATTTCCGTGGAGCATTTTTCTTAAGTCCTGAAATACGTGACATTGATACGCGACATAATCGTCGTGTTACATTTAAGCGACTTTAAATTTTAATTTTGCTCGTACCTAACTTGACAGACAAAAATTATCCGCCAAAAATATGCCTAAGTACTCAATTCACCCCACGTGAACATTTTGTTCCTGACCATTTTTTAGTAAATGTGAGATTGAGGAGCCAATTTGGACCCCGAGTAATATTAATTGTCTTAATCTATGCAGTGATGTAACGTTCGCTCCGAATTAATTTAATGTCCTTTCTATCATCACTTTATTAGTATCCGCGGCCCCGAAACACATGTTTTGTAGCACCACGACGTTATATTTGACTAACTTTTTTTTGAATTTTTATTAGCATTCAATTCATCTAAACTAGTTTACGTCAACACCTTTAGTGTAATTAACACGTTGTAAATCTAACATAGCCAGTTTTCGTCTTGCACGCGAAAACGGCCAAATGATAATACCTGTCGCCAATAATAGTTAATAAACTTTGATATATGTTTTTGCAGGGATATCAAAATACCCAAGACTTGCATAAAAAGTGTAATTTTTCCTTGGTGAAGCCTTGATTATGCGGTTTGATGCTCACAAACGGTTGTTGCTATTTAATCATAATTTGCTAAATTTCTTTGTCAACAGGTCAGCACGTATACCATCTCACAAGTATTCATGGTATTTTACTTATTTATGCATATTTCGATGTTATTTTGCTTACCTGACTTTACAATTATGCAGTATGCGCAACTCATCGTAAGTATTTTCATTTGTTACTTTGTACATCATGTCGCATTGGTTGTACTCTTTGCCTTTTCATCTGCTATTCCAATTTATTTTAATGTCACATGCCCCACTAAAATCCAGTCAAACCAGTGGTGGTGGTGGTGATTGATATCCACCGATGTTGGCGACTATGTTCAATTTAATGCGTCAGATAAGACCAGAATCATTCAGTGATGTACTTTTTTTACTTTTTCTCGACAGTTTAACTAACAATTTGCAGATGTGGATGAGTGGATGGTTATCCAAGAATGTTTGCTACAGGTCAATTGGTATTTGTGACCAATCTCAGATTTCTATTAGTCTATGTTCGCAAGTATTCCACAAACAACTGTACACACGGAAACAATAACATATCATGCCTGGCGGGCAAGTAAGAGGGCTGAATCGATTGCATCGCATCACTTTCGAGAATTTGAAATAATATTCCAAGGAACCACGTCAGTTCACCACAAAACACGAATGCGTTTTAAACGGCACATTTACCTTAAAATTCCTCTTTCCAGATTAATTTTGTGTAGATATCAGACATTGACGCGTTGACTTGATTGGTCTTCGACAATTCGGTCCAATTTCATGCATTTCTTATTTTGGATGCCTGCAACAGTCAGTGGCAGATGCATGCACCGGCGACTATATTAATGTTTCCATTTTACTCGTAGTAATGAATAAGGCACAGACAATTTTTAAAATGAAAAGTAATAAGGTACGTTTTCGTAATGAGTTTTATAAAGAGGAGTGAGTGTTGGGATTGCATCAAAAGCAATGAAGACATTCACATGGATTTTACTCCTGCTGTTAGGGTGGTTAAAAGTGGATCATTTAATTTGAAGATGAAATCTTCAGCCAAGGCAGCAAATTTGTTCTGATAATCCCTAAAATCAGATATGGACAACTCGATCGTATTTTGGAAGCCCTGCAGAACACGTTCATGGGTTTCGCACATTAAAGAGAGTGAAGCTAACTGAGCCGCGTTTCCACAGGCACTTTTATACTCACCTATCAACGAAACGGATTTTTTCCTTCATCGCGTCATAAGTGGAAGTGAAAAACAATTTGTGGTTGGCAAAATCATAAGCAAACGTAGCTGAAAGCATTGATATGAAACCGCAGGACCTGAGGCAAATTTTTGATTGCGTCCGATGAAAACATTGTTGTAGATCAGGTGAGAATAGTGTAGAGAAGTGATTTATACGAGTTTCTTCCACATGGCTAAGCAATAGCTTAACCGAAGCACTGTGAGCACCTCACCCAGCACAGTGTTGGAATCCAAACAAAAGGTCCAAAGTTGGTCAGCATCAAATGCACCGTAAATCACCCTGACATCGCTAGATCATATGGCACTCAGCAGTCACTGCAAAAATTTGGGAAGTTAAGTGAAAAACCCTCCAGCATCTTTCATATTCGCTTGACCGTGCCTATTCATCAATTCTCACCTGATACGTTCTCTGCAAGGTAATTAAAATGGAAGAAAATTCACTTTATCCAAGACTTCCATTACCCGGAGAAACTATACTGTTTCTACATCGGTGGAATTCAAGAAGCTTCAAATTCAAAATGGTAGCAGAAATGTACGGAACATAATGAAAAGTATATTAATGATTAAAATATTTTACTTTTCATGACAAGGTAATGTATTTGGTCTTATTTCAAATAGTGCACGAAACTTTATAATCTCCTAATATTTAAGCGTTGCATAGTCAATGGATAAGTAGGAGCGTATTTGCCTAAAACCGATGTGCTATTAGCCATCTTCCTTTTAACTTTTCTTGCATGTTACATGCTTGTTCGTAATACAAGTTCACTATAGATTACATTTTTTTACTCAGATGTTTTCGAACACATGCATCGGTGTTTTGTCGGGACTTCTGTGTACGCTCATTGCTTTCTACGTCGTGAGCAGTTCTGTCCAGCCACTTATTCTTAGGTCCACTAATCGTCTTCTGATTGCCTCCCAAGTGCGTGATAATGACGAGCTCCGATTGGCTGAAGCAAACACACAAATTGGCCGATGGCGTCTAGAGAAACGATTACCTCTTCATCTAACTCAGATGTTTGATTATGGTGGAACTCACAATTTCCTTATTCTGATTCTTACTTCACGCCATCAAAAGGTCGACGCTTTCGAACCGTACTACCTTACACAAACATCGGTAGCATTAGTTAAGACGCTTACACAATCAATCGGAAGAGAGTATAGTGGGATAAAGAAGATAATACCGGTCATTTGTGTAGTTCAACACACCAATGATACCGATTCGGATCTGCACAGAGTTGAAATAAAGCGCTTACGCCAAGTATTTGGGGTTAAAACGATACTACGTCCCTCTAGTGAGCACAATGGCAGCACATCTAATCTTTGCATGAAATCCTGTCTCTCCACTGGTCTCAAGATGTATTCTTCAACAAATTATGTTGTCATACTAGAAGACGACTACTTGGTTACGCATAACTTTCTCCCTGCGTTGGATACTTTTGCAAAGCGAGCAGAAAAAAACTTGCTCCAACTCCTCTCCCCATCCCAATATTTGGCCTATGATTCTGCATCTAGTCTTATTCTGACAGGGCTCTATGCATTTGCATCATTGCCCGCCGTGGCGGCCTTTTATCTGGTCTATTCACGCATAGGCCAGAAGTTTATTCGATGCCTTCTTGGAACAACGCTTCTAGTGATCGCGATTCTCCTCCTACTAAATAAATGTGTGCAGATAGTATCCATCGAGCTAGTTCCATCAAAAGAAAAGAATATCATGGTACGTGGAGTACCTATTGTTGTCCCGACAACATTGGCGACAAGACTTGCAGACATGTATTCGAATGAAGCTTGCCCGCCAAACAGCACTCGCTTGAATGGAGACATTGTCGCGCACTTCGCAAGGAGGCTGAAGTACAACGTGCTGACAGTAAACCCTCCAGCCGCCATCCACATTGGTATGTATTCTCAGAGCCATATCCATTTAAATGATCCTTTGTTTTTTCCCCATTAAATAACCTATCGTTTGGTGTTGCTGCTTTCGTGCGAACGCCACCTATTCCATCTTCTGCAAAAGGCGGAAACCAGTGTCTTAAAAAAATATGAAACCACACAAGCTCTGCCGTCCAATTAGGCCTTAAATTGCAAATTGGGCTAGAAAATATTATTCTCCATGGAGTCCAGTACATGCTCTTTAATGACGCAAGTGGTCGATTAGCTCCGAGGACACTAGGAACTCACTTTGCATGGATACGAAGTTCATAGTCTAGCAGTTAACACTTTCCAACGTCGCATTGCCCGCATAAGTTTATGTCTCTAAAGTCTTCTTATTACTGTTTTCGAAATCCGGCAGGTGAGCCGTTGTCTATAATCGCGTTCTCCGCTACCTAAGCCGCCACTAGTTAGGTATACAATATTTAATATCGATGATCAGTGTATGAGTTTTCACCAAGTCATCAAAAGAAACTAAATAGATCACTGGAAAATATACAAGCGCGAGAGTAAACGGCGTTTATTTGCATGTCGTCTGGAAAATATATTCATTAGCTATTTGTTGCACCAAGCCACATTAGCGCCACGCCATAGTGAATGCATCATCCACCGAAACTGGGTTTCCGTTGATAGAAATGCTAATTCGAGGTAGATGGTCTAAGGAGCAAAAAGAATCAATTTAGGGTTAATTCTTAAAGAAATGCGTCGGTAAAACCAAACAGGATTGTCTTGAATAAATTTCATTTGAATGGCGAGAAATCTGTCGCGTTAAAGGATGAATATTCCTAAAATCAAACTATGTGGCATTATAAATCAATCAGCAGTGAGACGATTGCACTAAGGCCGTTCAGACTTTAATTCAGGCGGGGTACGCACTTGAGTGCTTCTCCTACTTTTGAGTACACACCTCTGCCCCAACCATCACCTACCTCAGAGCACTTGACGACGAGTCAAAAGCATGGTTGACAAGTGACTGCGACGTCGCGATACAGTCGTTTGAACGGCAATTTTAGAATGGCGGGACCTCAAATTACCGGTCAGGCTTAAGGCTCACTCCAGGTATTCTCGCATGTTGACAACAATCAATGTGTGATTGTTCCTAAGGATATTTACAAGGTACATTAAAGTAAAAATTTAAACTATTTGCCCCCAGATGTCTCATATGTCTTAAAATATATTGTTGAACAACACCAATTACCTTCAGAGCGTGGAGAAACAAAAATGTTCAAGTCTAAACGCAGATAGACAGGCTGAAAAAGAAAACCGACTAAAGTATGACAGGCAGAATATGGACAGTAGCAGTAGTTAGCATTTGTGGACTTTATTAAGACTTGAATTGACTTTTTATATCACTATGAGCGAAGTTTTAACTTGTAATGGCTTGGCAACAAGGCCTACAATTTTGATCTACGATGCGTAGAAATGAAGAATGAGTTTATTCGAAAGATTTAATAAAAAAAACACAAAATACTGAACAGCTGAACTCGGCTTCCGTCAAAAAACAATTTAAGCCGAGATTGGCTGTGAGGTTTCATAAAGATAGACTTGGGAAGCCCCGCTATATGTTGTGGTGAATCTATCAAGGATAAATACGAAAGGTTCTCCAAAAGGCAGCAAAACAACATTGGGTCGGAGTTACAGGGGAATCCTAGTTGGACCAGAGCTGCCCAAACTCGGCAACAATTAAGAAGTGAAAAAAAGCGGCGAAGACGAGCTAGGGGATAAAAGTTAAAAAGAAACCAAGGTTACGTGGTTAGACTAAATGGATGCGGACATCACTACAGAGTAACAGATGACAAGCGAAAAGAGGAGAGTAATAACATCGACAGGATAAGTGTGTCGATTAATGCATTCCTGGAAGTTATTTAGTGCTCTCAGAGTGCATGCGAGGGAACAGGAAGCAGGTTTAGAAGTGAGTTTGTGTGGCAACCGTGTTTGAGTTGCCGCAAGAAAGAGAACTTGGAGGAAAAGTGTGTCGGGATACATTCGACTAAAAACCGAAGAATGCAAATAATTGACGGATCCCTACAGCGGATTGAAATGTTTGTGAGTAAAAAAGCAGCAACCATCACCTATTAAGGTTAAGCAATAAAAGGCGACTGGAAACTTGCAAGTAATTAAAATGGAAGTCTACCACGGACTCTGGCAAAGGCAACTCATAACTTGCGTTACCACCACTACAAACAATTGGTTCGGTTGCATTCCAGTACACACAAATCCACATACTACCTTGTGGTCACCTGTAGATACTTCGCAGCGAATCGAGTTGTATTCACTTGTTTCTATAGGAAGCAAAGCCATAGCACTCTTTGATAGAAAAATTCGATCACACCACGCTGGGCAACGGCTACCAGAAAATTCATTAGTCAGGTCGTCAAACGGATAACTAGATAGAAAACAAAATACACTGATTTGACATCGGGGAAATATACAGATAATGAGTGCGGAATTACGGCGAATACATTGCAAAGATTTTAGAAAGTTGAAGATACCGAGTCTGTCACATGAATATTCACGTAAACTGACGCGCCCCAGGAGATATTACTTTGTAGTTCTAAGGTTTTCCAAAAAAAATCGAGATAGCCCATGTCGTTGTTGACAGTTGACTTTTTGATTCCGAAACAAATCACGCCATCGAATTGTTGACTTAAATGCATGTAACACAAAGGCACAGCCATCATTAGAGTGAATGAGCCTTAAAGACTGGTCTTTATCTGACACTGAAAAACCAAACCCAGTTTTTTGGAACACCTCGCCTTCGTAATATCTCTCAAATTAATTTATAGTTAAAAGGTACGCGGCAGATTAGTATTAATTAAAAACAAATTCTCCAAATCGCCAATAAAAGGTATTACGTTGGAGGAAACATGACCGGAAGTTCATGTAGGTCACTCGAGAACGCGAATGGTTCTTCGTCGAATTGCCTTATCTAGAAAGAAAACATGACAAACAATGGGATTGCGCTTCTGATAACAAGGCTATCAAATAGTGAATCGGCCTTCAGCGGAAATGAGATCCTAAACCGCCATTTTGGCTTGCTTATGAAACAGGAATTAGGTTACGTGTGGCGAGTGCTACCGCGTCGTCAGAGATAAAAAAGCAACCATTCAAAGAAAAAAACAGAGTCCAAAAACGTCACATAAGCAGTTTTTCCAATAAGGATGAAGACATCTAATGGAATTTTGATATATACAGCAACTATGCTTGTAATTTGCTTGTCCTTGATTTGTAAAGAAATTAACATTGCATAAAGAATACGCTTAAAATTAGAAGCTGCCAGCAGAATATTTGCTTACAACTCCCAGAACAAAATGCGTTGCAGATAAATAAAAATGGGCTAAATAACTCACTGTTTCTAGATTCTGCATGAAGTGCTGTTTTAAAAGCAAGCCCAGATGAAAGAATTTCCTTCCGACGGAAAGCAGAGTAACATCCTCTTTGGTATCCCGAATGACGACTTTTGCATCATCCACATATTTGTCAATTTTGCATTCCCTTACGTTGTATTTACGCGAAACGTAATTCTCCAACAAAAACTTGGTGATAATCAAAAATGTAAACAAGAGGCGTGCAAATTAAAACTCGGTCAAAGCAGCCGTTGGAAGTTGAATAAATCAAGTTATCTTTCCTCAGAACCACTTTCCAAATGCACATTATGAGAACTTAACAAGCACAATGTTAAGTGGAATAAGCCTAACAGTACGTAATTAGAGGCCTCAAACAAATCAAAAAATGCTCTTTTGGAAATGGTGTTCCGAATAAGTGGACCACATCAGAAGTCGCCAACAACTAATAGCATAATAGAATAGGGTTAGTGGACTCGACTTTGATTATTCTTCTAAATTCCCTTCGCCTTGGTTTAAAAAGATGATGTGCGGGTGGAAACCAACGCTAGGTTTACTTAATATTAGACCACTGATTGAACCTTGACATATGGAATTATGTCAAGCCATGAAAGGGAGTATGCAAAACTAGTGATGAAATAGGTCTCACGTTGATCAACTTTGGTTGGTTGATGCGGAAGTTAAAGTCTCCAAACAAAACGGAAGGGCTTCCATTAATACTAAAAAAGGGGGCGCATAGATCAAAGTTTTACACTTACCTCAAGAGCTCCATGGCTAAATTTCGCTTCCTGGCTTCCAGCGTTGTGGTGGGGAACTACGATTAAAAATTTAAGGAATTAATCTAGCACAGAAACGGACACTACAAATTATTCCGAGTGCATAGGAAAGACATTTCAACAAGCAGGTGTGAGAAGATGCACGAATCATTACTTAAACAAACACGCCAACTTTCACCTAGACAAAACTTTGATCAGTCACGCTGCTGAATCTAAAGTCGCCAATGACGACCTTCGCGCAGCAATACTCCATGAAGTAAAATGTGCATAAGGTGGAAGGAAGAAATAAGAGACAATACACAGATAAGTAATTGGAGATTAGCCAAAAGTTAGAGGCAGAGACCTACCCTCCGAATTGATGAAATGTTATCTTTCTCATTAATCAGGTGAACGTTGAGAAGGTCGAGAGCGTACTTGCCGAAGAAGAGCCATCGTGAACGCAGAGCACCCTTCCTGCATGCAATGTTCTAACAAGATGACACTTTTGCTTACACTACAAACCAAATATTCGAATTTGTGCTTTATGATCCACTCGCACTTTGCAAGCCCGTTGCAGTAGACCTTTCAGATCGCATAGCGTAGCGAAATTTTTAATATACCTTAATTCCATCCAATTCAAAGAACGTGTTACCTAGAGAAGCTGGATAAATACCTAGGAGGCAAAACGTACTTTTGAATGAGTGTTGCTGTACACTTATTCGAGGTCTGGCTAAATACAGAGAACCTAACCCCTAAAAGTGTTTAGATGAAAACTATGACCGTGTTATAGACTACCGTGTGATTTGAAGCAGGGTCGAGCCCATCTAAAAATACCACACCTCTATAGAAACCTAGTGACATTGCATCGCGTAAGAAACGTCTAATAGAAAAAATGGCTACTTATCATACGGTCATACTTGATTAAATTCATTGTTTCATCCGGCAGAGGCTGTGTATGCTTACCACTAATCTCTTGAAAATGTATTGCAACAAAATCGATATCTTTAGGTCGGATTATCTAGTTGGGGATTACAATTCCTAGGCAAACATATACCTCCAGCAATCGCTCTGTTAGTGCGTTTCTTTGGCCTTCCGACTACAAAGAATTCAATTAAACATCAACACCTAGGAAATTTTACCAGCACAGGAACAGAACCCAAGTTAACGGTAACAAAAAGTAATGCCATTGGAAGAAGACAGGCTGCAATATCAGAAACTCGGTTCCGAATATGTGCCTGAAATGTAAACAAAACATCTGGCTTCCTGAGTCAACAGGAGAAAATAAATCTTTACAGGGAAATTAAGGCGCGGCTATCTGAATGTTAGAGAAATGCTAAATTGCCGCTATCTCCATAACGTTACACCATTTTTCCTAATTATTCGTTCTTAAGGATTTTGTTGACCGAATCAAACACAAGCCGCGAATTAGTTTAGAGATGAACAAAAAGAGACTTTGACTCTATTTTCAATCTGTTAAATATCGATAGCAATTTTTTATTTACCTTCGCGGAAATTTGGAATAGACAGGGCTCCATTTGAGGCGATTATGCTATACGTGACAGATAGGCATTTGTTAGGCCGTTTTACGAATGAAATGCAGGATGATGCGTTCCCATGGTCCTTTGAAGTAACACCACGAATTTCACTAAAAGGCACTTGGCATATCCAATTTCGACTGCTTATGGTATATTAAATTTATCTCTCTAACTCAAAGGTGCAGTAGTACAGACGGTTGAGCGCTGACATTAATGACACCATTTATCCAATGTGATTCACTTAAAAATTAATACTTGAAGGATCTTTAGCCATATTTTGGCCAAAATATGGCTTAAATTTGACCTAGCGCAACATTAATCAATGCATTCGGCACTCCTAATAAGGACACGGGACTTAAGACTGTGGGACTAACTTATACTGAATGCAGTATCAGGTAGTTCTTTTTCTGGCGAATTGAACAAAAACTTTACTTGCGTTGCGATTATGCACATAGGAGCACTTACAAACTGTTAAAAGTACGCTGCGAATTAATAAATTTTGTTGTGTAGAGCAGCGCGGTGTGGTGTGGCGTCGGATTAGGGCGCAGACATATTGGACCACCTGGCCTCAGATAATCCCGTGTCTCTCTGCGATCCAATGGCATGCGGGAAAGGAAGGCAGCCAACCAGAGAAGGACATGGATGAGATGCAG